TTTGTGCCTGCCGATATTCTACTGTATGGACCGTGCAAAACCTGCACCTTCAACTGACAATCTGGTGACATCCTATCTCTCAATGTGTCCATGTAAACAAAAAAACCCAGCTTGTTTTTGAAAATAAGTCAACCTGAGTGACACACTTTGGATGAAGGATGAACATAACAATTCCAAGTTGTGAATAGGTTTGCGTATTGTGTATTCAAAGTCTAAAAGCTACAGTCAGGCAGTGCATTACCTTTTAAGAATGTATCCGCAATTCTGGAAGGCCACATTGTATTAGTAGTGGATCGCAGCTTTCCCGATTGCAATACCGTATCTACTCTACCTGTTTTTTAGGGCGGGGCTACAGACTGTCATTGATAATGAGGGGGGCAAACATACACGTTCTACTTGGATCTGTCTTGCTTGTTATGTTTTGTCTGGATTTTAAGACAAACCAACGTTCGGGTGGAGACGCTTCCATATAAATATACACACACTGTAATAGGGTGCTTTTACACCAGTAGTTTGAGTAAAAATATAAATAAATGTCCTCCTTTCCGCCATTTTGGTTTCAAATCCATAAAGCAAGTGAAGATATGTCAGTTATGAAACAGCTATTTTGCCTCTAACTGATAGCAACTGAAAAAGAAGTACAGACTAATAGAAACCGCTGGTGTGAAAGCACAAAGTACATGTACAGAGGACCATGATGGTGTAAAATGCTCACGTTTCACTTCCAATTCACACACATTTGTGTATAGATTTATGCATCATGTCGTAGCTAAGTAGCTGAAAGCCGACTCACTCCTTGCTAGCAGCTAACTGTGTACGTGAAGCAAAGCATATAGCCTAGCATGAACACACAAGAACAAGCTTCTTTATGCCACTGATATCCGCAGGTAACACAAAAGTGAGGTGTGGAAATCAACTTTTTGAATGTCACACTACACTCATTTTTAATTACCTGTATTGCTTGAATGTTGTTGAGTCACGCTGAGAGGTCGATGGGGAGTCACTCGGCTGTGCGTGTTGTCGTCGTCTCTGGAATCCTCTCTGATATCCTGGTTAAAGACTTAAAGCAAGGCATTCAATTACTTTTTGCAAAGCATCCCTAAATCTGTGGACGGACAGGTGGACTTACCTTAGCTGTGAGATCCACTTTTGAAGCAGAGTATTTGGCATTCCAGAGACGTACAGCAAACTGGGGACAGTTAAGGGGATTATCCAGCATTCAACCCCAACTTGACCTGACTTGATGGTTAAAAATTCGTCATTATGATGCGTAACAGATGTACCCATGTGGCAGCAGAGGACTGACTTGGAGTGGGGGAAAAAAAAACACGATCCAACAGGAAAAAGGAGGCTGGAATCTGAGCTGGTGTCAAATTTGATTTAATATATCATATCATATGTTCAATTGCCCATCTTGACGAGCTATCATGCAGGCCTCCTGGGAAGAAAAAGTACCACAATAAGTAAAACCCACAAGTAATAACCAGTGAGGACAAAGCCAAATTACCACCAGAGTCATCTGGCTTAGGGTTTCCAATTCTTCCATTTCTTCTTTTTTTTTTACCCGAGTTTGCAATGCCTGGTGCTGTACAACGTTTGTATTTTGTGAAGTTCAAGGCCCTCCGCATGCAAGTCTCACACTGTCCTGCAGGGTGAAATACTGAAGTGCCTCATCTGAGCAAGGTTGCCCCCTCCCAAACCCCCTTCAAGTTACCACAAAAGCTTCATCAGATGGCGTTAGGATCCAAGAACAAGGAATCAGACTTTTATTATTTTCTTAGCCCATTTGTGGCTGCCGATATTCTACTGTATGGACCGTGCAAAACCTGCACCTTCAACTGACAATCTGGTGACATCCTATCTCTCAATGTGTCCATGTAAACAAAAAAACCCAGCTTGTTTTTGAAAATAAGTCAACCTGAGTGACACACTTTGGATGAAGGATGAACATAACAATTCCAAGTTGTGAATAGGTTTGCGTATTGTGTATTCAAAGTCTAAAAGCTACAGTCAGGCAGTGCATTACCTTTTAAGAATGTATCCGCAATTCTGGAAGGCCACATTGTATTAGTAGTGGATCGCAGCTTTCCCGATTGCAATACCGTATCTACTCTACCTGTTTTTTAGGGCGGGGCTACAGACTGTCATTGATAATGAGGGGGGCAAACATACACGTTCTACTTGGATCTGTCTTGCTTGTTATGTTTTGTCTGGATTTTAAGACAAACCAACGTTCGGGTGGAGACGCTTCCATATAAATATACACACACTGTAATAGGGTGCTTTTACACCAGTAGTTTGAGTAAAAATATAAATAAATGTCCTCCTTTCCGCCATTTTGGTTTCAAATCCATAAAGCAAGTGAAGATATGTCAGTTATGAAACAGCTATTTTGCCTCTAACTGATAGCAACTGAAAAAGAAGTACAGACTAATAGAAACCGCTGGTGTGAAAGCACAAAGTACATGTACAGAGGACCATGATGGTGTAAAATGCTCACGTTTCACTTCCAATTCACACACATTTGTGTATAGATTTATGCATCATGTCGTAGCTAAGTAGCTGAAAGCCGACTCACTCCTTGCTAGCAGCTAACTGTGTACGTGAAGCAAAGCATATAGCCTAGCATGAACACACAAGAACAAGCTTCTTTATGCCACTGATATCCGCAGGTAACACAAAAGTGAGGTGTGGAAATCAACTTTTTGAATGTCACACTATGTACTGTTTGCTCAGGGCAAAGACAGTTCCATTACTTGCTCCTTTTAGCTGGAATAAGCCTCCAAAGTGTACATTTAATGGTTTGATTGTACAGTGACAAGATACTGGTAATGTACAGCTGGCAATTACAGGCTCTATTTTTTAAGAGTGTGCCGTAAACACGTGAATGTAAATGACAGCGTTGCTCGAATACAGGTGTGTGTATATGTTAGCCTAGTTGTGGAGCTAGCATAGCAGTATCATCTCACCATCCGTGGTCCCCCAAAATATGTGTCTGTGTGTGTGTTGTTTTCACTGTTTGTTGACCCCGAGACAATAAACAAGCAGACGTGCACAGATGCCAACAACCCACTATTGTAGTACAGCAGTAACAGTCAAGATAAAGACGTGTGGTGCCTTGAGATACAAAGTTAATTCATTCGGTGATTTGTAGTTTTTAAACACAGTGTATCTCAAATCATCTTTCCTCATTGAAATGAATCGGCCGTACCTCATGGCACCACCGTGCCCAACAGACAACATCATAGCGAGTGAGTGAACATCAACGGATGAGTTGAATGATGTGTAGAGCCTTAAATGTCCACTAGAGGGCGACCGAATTTTGTTTAAGTTTCAAATGTGCGGATGTGCTGTCACTACTCTAAGCCATTTGATTAGGGACACCGCAATGTGATCCACAACAAATCTCTTGCAAGTGTACCTAATGACGTGTCCAGAAGTGATTGTGTTGTCCAAACAGAAACGATGCTTACAGTTGTAATGTGGTCACACACTGACTATACCATCATTCACTTTTTATTTTGTTGTGATCAGATATTGTGACTGTAAACGCCCATTCTTTATTCTTATTGTATAAATCTAAAGCCAAATTGACTTCAATAAAAAGTTTGAAGGGAACCCACTGGGTGATGTGGTATGAGGGTAAAGGAGAAGCATAAAAAATAAATAAATCAAAACCTACAGAAATGAGACACACACGATAAGTTATGCTAAATGAAGTACATTTTATTTTTGTCCTTTTTAGTACATAACGATTATTTTAGAAAGATAAGACTTTTCAAGCAAAAGATCTACCCGGTAACAAACATATGTACACACAGAAAACGGCGCAAAGTTGAAATGTACAAACACTCAGTGCGACCCGGTAGGGAAAACTGGCAGGCAAGTTATCACCATATATATATTTATAAACCCCCCCCAAAAATGAATCAAAACAAAAACAAGAACAGTTACAAATCGAGTAGGCGTGGAACTTGTGAACAAAAGTGAACAGGACACAACAAAGGACTAATAGTAGTAGAAGTAGTAGTAGTAGTTGCTAAGGGAGTGGTGCACCACTCGTGTTCACAATGTGGTAGGATAAACTATAAAACGATCTTTTTTTTTTTTTTTTTAAATGTTTAAATCATATCAAGGCTGATGCTAGCGTGCCATCCATCCTTGGAAGGTGTCAAAGGCAAAAAGGTGCAGCGCTACACAGTAGCGTTCCTCCCTTCTTACACTCCTTATAAGGATGCGCGTCGACCCAATCTCAAAAGATGCAATTGCAAACCGAAAGAAAGAAAAAAAATATTGAAATTTGCAGGGAGGAATGATGGAGTAAAAAAAAAAATAGCAGCTCGAGTATAGCTTAGTTCATCTGAGGTGAACTACAAAAAAAAGGAATGCATGTATTAAACAATGAAAAAAAAGAAGTTAAAAATAAGTCTTTAAAAAAAGGCAGTGACAGGCTGATTTTTAAAGGCAAAAGAAGTCGAAATTGTCCCATAAAATGATGACGAGAAAAATAAAAATCAAATTAAAGGCAGTAGATTTTTTTTTTTTAAGGTCATCATTAAACAATAGACGTGGTTTCAATTCCACTCCTGTCATATAAATATCCATTGTGTGGTTTGGCCAGTCACCACTTGAAGTGCTTCGGACACACTCATTTACATTCTTAATACTCAAAAAGAAAAAGCAGAATTTAATCCAATGGGAAGTGGAGTGATATTTGAACAGCCCTGAATAAATACCAGGAGAGGTGATGAGCAGGCCTAAAGGATAAATTAAATTAGGCAACATAGAAATCAAATGAAAAGGAGGTGGCACTTTTTTTTTTGTGTGTGAGCCTAGGACAAAAAAAAAGGAGTGTGAAAATAACTACAAAAAATACAAACAATAAATAAAAATAAATGAATTCCCTTCAGATTTGATCTACTTTAAAATGTTTGTTAGTTTTCAGGAGAGGATCACAAAGTCTTTTGAAATAAAAGACTTGGTTTTCTTCATATATTTAGTTTTTTTTTTTTTTATAATAATAAAGTCCATCTGTGACAGAATTACTTCATTAAATTGTCTGCTGGTTTTTCAGACAACAAACGTTTTGCCTTTACTGTGTCTCACAAGCCGTCCGCAAACAGAACACGCGAGCGGTCCTCGGCATAAACAACAAGTCAATCCAAATCCAATAAAAAATCTTGGAAACAGGCTGACACACAAACTGCAACTTTAAGCAAATACCTGCATCTTTTTGTTGGCCTCTGGGATTTTTGAAATTTGGGTCTGGGCAGAGCCGGCGACAGCAACGGCGGGGCTGGGGGTTGAGTCTGACCAGTCGGACACGCACTGAGGGGAGGGGCTGGACCAAGGTTCGGGCGACTCGGGTGAAGGGGTCAGGTAGGGGTGCTCAGTAGGCAGGTGTAGGTAATGCTTGGGCGTGGCGTCGAGCGCCGACGTGTAACTGTGCTGCGAGGGCGGGGTGGGGTAATCCTCGGCGGAGCCCGGCTGGGGGGCCGGGGCTTGGGCGGGCGGGGCGACGGCGACGCCCGGCGGGGCCTGGGGAGGGGGCTGTTGGAAGAAAGGCGGTGGGGGTTGCGAGGTCTGCGGCGTTGGCGGAGTGGACGATGCCATGCGGGCCAGATTCTGCTGGCCGCTTATGGAGTGGCTCATGATCTGCTGCTCGCTGATGGTGGGCAGCTTGACGGGGCTGACGCTGGGCGTGGAGGTGACGGGCGTGGGTTGCAACATGGTGCCGCGGTACATCTGCTGCTGATGCAGCAGCAGGTTCTGCTGCGGCGGCGGAGGCGGCTGCATGCTTTGCTGCAGCGGCGGCGGCATGCTCTGCACCAGGTTCACCACCTGCTGCCCGCACTGGGAGACGGGCGACCGGCTGTGCCATTCGAAGGGCACGCTGACCGGGCTCACCAGGCCCATGTTGAGCCCCATCTGGCCCGACGGGCTCAGCACGTAGCCGTGGCCCACATCCGATGCCATGGACACTCGTCCCTGCAGGGCCATGCCACCATTGCCCAGGTCATTGAGCTGCGCCAGAGACACGGCGAAGGGGCTGCCGCTGTCCAGCATGCTAGCGTGCACCATGGGCGTGCTCGGGACCGACAGTGACGAGTGGAAGAGCCCCGGGGACGGCATGGCCACCGGGGACGTGGGGTTGGTGATGTAGCCGGCGTTGCTGGCGCCCCCGTGAGGTGACTCCAGCGAGTCCACTGGCGAGAGGGTGACCGAGCTCTCCAGCAGGGCACTCTGCATGTCCAAGCTCAGCTTCTTATTGCGGGCCTTGACCGAGTCCTTCAGACCGCCGGCGTGCTGACCCCCCAGGCCGGAGCCCTTAGCCCCCGGCCGGCGGTTCTTCTTACCCTGCGGGGTGGTCTTCAGGCTGGGCAGGAAGGCGCTGGGCGGGCACATGAGGGGCGACAGGGTGTGCCCGCTGGAGAGGTGGAGTCCGGGCCCACCGTGGCCCTGGGGGCTCCTCACAGTGTTGTACTCGTCCAGGAGCTGCACGATATCGTGGTGCATGCGCTCCTGAGCGATGTCTCGGGGCAGCCTGTCCATGTGGTCCGTAATCTCGCGGTTGGCAAAGTGAGCCAGCAGAACTTTGACGGCCTCGCAGCTTCCCTCGCGAGCGGCTAGGAAGAGAGGCGTCTCCTCCTTCACACGTACACACGCATGCACACAAGGTTAAGGATTCAAACATTGCTTTTAGAAATAAGTTTCTTTCACTTTGCAATGACCTCACCATACCTTAAGATCTTGCATGTCTTTGTTTGCGCCATTCTTCAGCAAGGCAATCGTCGCGTCCACGTTGTTAACAGCAGCGGCCCAGTGCAATGCGGATTTACCTGAAAGGAAAACAAACTCCAATCAACATTTGCTACTCAACATGGAGGTGAGTACTTGGGCCTGATTTCGCAATCAGCTGGCTGATTAAATTCGCCGATACAGTGAAACTCCTCTCCAACGAAACCTACATGGGCGAAAATACCTCTAGTGTGAAAAAATCTTCGCGCATTAACACCATTCCCACTTTCCTGCCCCCCATACAATGAAAAAAAACCCTGTTGCGTTATACGAAATCTCAAGGCAATATCAAACGTGACAGGCTTAAAAGAGGACGACATGACGATAAGCAAAGCGGCTGTTTACCCAGTTCATCGACTGCATTGACATCTGCGTGGCAAGTGATGAGTTCCTCCACCATTCCCTCCACCGCCAGACGGGCGGCCAGGATGAGCGCCGTGGAGCCGTCGTACATGCGCGAGTCAAGATCTGTGGCCCTGTTTCGGATCAGGATCTATGCCAAGAGAATGACGGGATGACATTTTTTTTGGTCCTTTTGTCACACTTTCAATCTCACTTTTTTACAGATGTTTTCGCTTGCTCTGATGTGTACCTGGAACACTCCTTGCGCGTCCGCAGCCACGGCAGCGTGCAGGGGCGAGCGTCCCGTGTTGTCCTGCGCGTTGGCGTCCGCCCCGGCGTCCAGGAGTCTCTTTGCGGCGTCGGCGCGGGCGTAACGGGCAGCCAGGTGGAGCGCCGTCTCGCCCGTGCGATCCGTCTGGGCGGCGAGTGACGCGCCCTGGTAGATGAGGTCGGAGATGATGTTGGCCGAGCACTCCTCGCTCTCCTCCTCCTCGGTGATCTCGGGCTCCAGGCCGCCTCCGCAGAACGACGCCAGCATCAGCGGAGTAAAGCCGTCTAGTAAAAGAGTAGTCAATATCGATGTAGATCATGTCGATTTGATTCGATTGCTAGCTCGCGAGAGAGCTAGCGAGCTTGATAGCTTTACAGATAGATTGTGTATACAGTACGTGTGTTTAAATAAATACACGATCCCAAATCGGTTTTGTTCTCACTACCAACCTGGACCTCGGACGTTAACGTCCATGCAGTCGCTTTCAAACTCCCCTTGCGGCGGGGTGAGCGCCATGGTGGGCGGCATGCGGATGTCGGCCGCTGCCAGGTGATGTTGCGTCCACTGTCGGCTATCGACGGCGTCCTCTCCGTCTGACAGCATGCTTGGCTCCTCCATCTAAAAGGATCCGGCAGAGACGTCGGTGTCACAAATTGATCGCTGTTGTTTTGTCCATGTGTACGTGTGGATTCATTTGACCTTCAATCTTTTGGGTTCTGGGCATTCGGCATCGATCCACTGGTCGCTGTGATCTCCAAGGAGAGATTCCTCAACCGTTTTGGGCATGTGTCTGTTGTTGATATCGAGAAATATGAAAAACCAGGACTAAAAGAAGCATATCCGTCTATACATGCGCTACTGTTTACAACCTCAAAACAACATTTGCCGCTACTGTCGTAAACCGAGGATCACAACGAGTATTCATAAATATTGCCCAAGTCTCTCGCTCTTACTTCATTCCAAGAGCATCCTGGCCCACCGGCTCCCTGCGGTTCTTGTTGCTGCTGGGCTCCTTCTTGAGGAAGAAGCCCTCCGGGAACCACAGCGTGCTGTGCTCACGCTTTCTGCGGGAAATCAGCATGCCTAACACCATGATGACCAGCAGGAAAAGCGAAGCGATGCTGACCAGCATCAGTTTGCCCCATTGAGGAATGGGGTCCGGATCGTCCACGATCTTTTCTCCTGCGCAGGCAAAGGCAAGGGGTGTGATTGCAGATACGTTCTTGGCGGGTTCTGCCTGCGCTACTCATGCTCGCCTGTACCCACCGCGGACTTCTTTGAGCGGGTACGGGAAGCGCAGCATTTCAACGGCCGACAAGGCTCCGAGGTAGTCCGCGGCGCTCTCAGCCGACGGGAAGCAGTCGTCAGTACACAAGCGGTTGTCTATTTCCAGGTAGACGATGGAGCTGGAGAAACAAGAGACTGATGTTAGTGGTCTGAATTCTCAGAAACGACTATTTAAGAATAGAAGAACCACCGGTGGGGACCCTCTAGTGCTATGGAGTAAAATGTTTTGAGGACCAGGACTCGAAAACATTTTTCGACTAATCTCCATCTCTTACCCAATAATCTCCTGTTGAGGCTGAAGCTCCCGCTTGAGCCGCGCCTCTCGCCGGGTGTAGGGCCGGATCATAGCCTCGCCGTTGTGGTCCAGCCGGAAGCGCAGCGTGGTGTGAAGGATGGCGCTCAGTTTGACGAGGAAGGCCGTGCTGGTGCGCAGAAGCTCCTCCGGAGGGAGCAGCACCACCAGAACTAAGGCGCCGTCCACGATGTCTTCGGGAACCTTTTGAGCGCAGTCCAGGCCGTCCCAGCCGCACTCCTCCGTGTTGCAGCCTTGGTCGCACAGGCCGTCGGCATAGTGGTCGATGCAGTAGGTCTCGTAGATTGGGCTGGAGGAACCACAAAAAGAAAGATTGACATCAATCAACCGGATCGAAAGTTGATTCATTTGGACAGACTGTAGGTCATTCCGTATCTGTTCACAGGTTGAAAATGTTGATCTGGATCATGATTAAAGATGAAATCCTGATCAATGTGGCTTTGGCTCAAGCAAATGTCATTTGTCACTTTTGTGGTTAGAATGCAAGCAAAAGAAAACCTTAACTCATTCAGTACCAGCCAATTCTAGACCAAGTCTGAAAAGACGTTTAGAAACGTCTTTGGGAGTGAATGGGTTTTAAGCTGCTCTGCGTGCAACCAGGAGACAAAAACTCACTTGCAAACTTTCTCCTTGGTTTTGCAGTCAAAGTTATCATACAAGCAGTCTGCGTTGTTGCACGACTCGTCGCACTGGCTGTTGTTGAACACGCGCCAGCAACGGGGGTCCGCGCACCGGGCCCAGGGGTTGACCGCCAAGGAGCAGTCGCCGCCATCCCAGCGGCACGCCAACGTGCTGCACTCCTTGTCGCACACGCCGTCGTTGGCTTTTCCGTGGCAGTCGGCCAGCGGACACGACAGGGCCGGGGTCTCGTTGACCCGGCCGGCCTGCTCGCACCGTTTGCCCGTCCAGCCGCTGGGACACTGGCAGTGGAAGAACGGGAAGGCGGTCTCTTCGGTACACAGGCCGCCGTTGCGACACGGCTGTGAGGAGCAGCCTTCGTTGCTGCGGTGGGCGCACTGAGGCCCGCCATAACCGGGCAGGCAGGTGCAGCGGGCCCCTCGCGTGGTGAGAGCGCAGCTTCCGCCGTTGTAGCAAGACAGCTCGCGGCAGGACATGCTTCGCTCGCAGTTGGGGCCCGTGTAGCCCTGCCGATGAAAATCAGAATCGTTTTTATTTGTGAAGCGTGAGTATGTGTGTCTATGAACACAACTGTTACGTTTAGGCGCCATGGGTTCATGACTGTGTGCATTCAATGTATGTTGATGCTTTATGATCCTTTCTGTTTAAAGGTCTTTGCCATCATCTAAACACAATTGCCATTAGGATTTTCACTCTTTGGGACAGGGCTTGATCCCTAATCTTTGCGAATTAGTTTTTATATTTAGGATAATCACACAAATATGTCCAAAAATGCCAAAAATGTGGTAATACTGACAATGGCAATGCACACGAATAGAAAATGGGTGTTACGTACAAGCTGACATGTGCACGTGTAGCCAACAACAGAAGTGGAAGCAGAGCACGCGCCTCCGTTTTGACAAGGCTGAGATTCACATGCGCTGAACCTGTTCTGGCACCTTCGACCTAAAACATACAATCACAAAAACACACAAGCAAAGATCGATCAAGAAGACTAAAAGAAATACAGAACGGGGACTTTTTGCATTCACATTGCAAGTTCACATCATCTTTTTCCAAATCATTTTTATCTCCGTGAATGATATTCGTCCAGTGGGTGACTACAGTTTTTAAGTTAGGATTTGACAGACGCTGTACAGTATGTCCTTTTTTTTTTTTGTTTTCTTATCTCAGTTAGGAGAGAGGCTATCCATCTAACCTGTGAAACCGGCCTTGCAAACACACTGGTAGTCGTTGGGCATCTGGATGCAGTCTAGGCTGTTGGAGGGGCTGCAAGGACTGGAGAGACACTCGTTGATGTCGCCCTCGCACCGCTCGCCTGTAAACCCGGGCGGACAGTTGCAGCGGTACCCGCCCACTCGGTCCACGCAGGTGCCGTTGTTGAGGCACTTGGGGGGAGCGCCGCGAGGCCTCATTGGCGGGGCGCAGTCATCTTCGTTGATCTCGCAGAGGACACCTTGAAGGGAGACGATTGTTGAAGAGTGACAGTTATGGATACATTCGGACTTTGCACTTTTGTTAAGTCATAATTAGAGTAAATATTTGGTTCCTCCACAAAAAACAAAACAAACAATCAAATGAAATGGTGTGATGCTAACAGTGCCTGCCTCCTGCCCGTGATCTCAAAGGATCGTATATCGGTGCCGATGTGTGGGCATACCCAGAGTGCCAGGAGGACAGGAGCAGATGTAATGCCCGACCAGGTCGATACACGTGCCTCCATTTTGGCAAGGATGAGATTGACACTCATTGACCTCCATCTCACAGTTCTGACCAGTGAAGCCCGGCATACACTGTAAATGGACACGTGAAGGAGAAATGGGATTACTTCATGGCTGTAAAAGGTCAACTTTGGTGTTGAAGGGCTACGTTTGATTTGAATGGATAGATATTCAGTCAGAGGGTTAAGTTGGATCGGCACAACTTTCATGAACTCACGTCACACTGATATCCTCCAACGTATCCCCTGCAGGTGGCGCCATTGCGGCAGGGTTTGTCCTCGCAGTGGTCCACTTGGCTCTCGCAGTAGCTGCCGGTGTAGTCGCCGGGACACTTGCAGTAATGCGTGTTGCCCGTGTTGACGCAGTGGCCGCCGTGGTGGCACAATTCGTCTGTCTGGAGTCCTGGTGACAAGGAGAAGGGGATGTGAGTGACTCTGCTGCCGTATGGCAAGAAAGGAGGCCGAGTTTAAAATAAAAATAAAAAATAAAAAAACCACGACACCTCTCTGGCGAGCTGCTGTCTCACAGGAAACCCGGGGAATGTCGCAATAACGTCCAGACCAGCCGTGAGCGCACTCACAGACAAAGGCCGAGTCTTTTTGCCGACAGCGTCCGCCATTCTGGCACGGGGAGGAGCGCCTGCACCAGTCAACCGGCATCTAGGCGCACAGGATACGAAGCAACGGTTAGCATGACGCTCGCACGCGAGAATAAGAGTCGGATTGACTTTTTTTCGTCGCACCTGACAGCGCGTGCCAGCGTAGCCTTTGGGGCAGGTGCAGCGGAAAGACTCCAGGGCATCTTGACAGAGACCCCCGTTGAGGCAAGGCTGCGAGTCACACTCGTTGACCTCGTACTGGCAGTGCGAGCCGGTGAAGCCTGAACGGCACATACAGGAGTAGCCGTTGATCTTATCTGTGCACGTCCCTCCATTGAAGCACGAGCTGCACATGAGGAAATAACTCACGTTGGTCACATTTTCATTTCAGGCACTTTGCATGAGCGGTGAATGATTTCGAAAAAGACATGGATTTTTCATTTTGGGCCCATATTATATTAAATAACTAAATGGAATAAAATCAAAGTATATACAGTACTGACATAATGATAATCTTGTTCCAATTTCACATTTTTTCTTGAACTATTCCTTTCTATGACTGTAATAGATTTATGGACAAAGATGAATTAGATGTAGTGAATGAATTATTTTTTTTTTTAACCTACCGCACATTTATGGGCCCTGACGGACTAGAAATTTATCCTGATCCAAACTGATAACCAGAATACTGATGCTGATCTAAGTTAACAACTCATTCACTCCCAAAGACCTTTTTAAACGTCTTTTCAGACTTGGTCCAGAATTGGCTGGTACTGAATGAGTTGAGATGATTCGGCCATGATGGAGCTCCTCACATCATTCTATTCCGTGTATCTTTCCGAAACTCAACTTTTTTTTCTCCATCTCTTGTTGGATCTCATTCGCGTACGCAACCCACCCACCTTTCCGTGCAATCCGGTATGTTGGTTTCGCAGTGGATGCCAGTGAAGCCGGGCCTGCAGGTACACGTGTAGGAGTTGACGTAGTCGGTGCACGTGCCGCCGTTCTTGCAGGGCAGACTCTGACATTCGTTGATCTCCTGAGCGCAGCGAGGCCCGGTGAAGCCCGGCAAGCAGCTGCAGTGGAAAGAGTTGACGCTGTCCGCGCAGGAGCCTCCGCTGAGGCACGGATCTGTGCAGGTAAAGGGGGAGCGAATGAGGGATTTGCGTTTGACAACACACACGTTGACATTCTTGCGGTCACTCACTGGGGGAGCAGTCATTGATGTCCGTGTCGCAAGTGGACCCGGTGAAACCGGGCCTGCAGGAGCACACAAAAGAACCGAACGTGTTGGAGCAGGTCCCGCGGTTCTTGCAGGGATTGGAGAGGCATTCGTTCACGTCCCTGTTACACAGTTGCCCTGCGGACGGCAAAAACGAGTCACAATTAGGTCACGATGGAGACGTGAGCTCCTCCTCTCGGATCCTTCTGTGCTCACCTTGCCAACCGGATTGGCAGTTGCACTGGTAGCCCAGGTAGTCTGGGGTGTGGGTGCAGACGGCCTGATTTGCGCAGGGGTTCGGGGAGCACGGGGTGAGCACTTCGGCGCATGTGGGTCCGTTGTAGGGAAGCTCGCATAGACAGGTGAAGCTGGCCACGCCGTCCACACACGTGCCTTTGTTCAGGCAGGGACTGGACGCGCACTCGTTGATGTTCACTTGGCAAAGGTTACCTAACGAGGGAACAATTCATAGATTTTTTTTTTTTTTTTTAATGACAAGAATTGACGTGTTTTTCACAGGACAGCGACGATATGATTTTTTTTGTTTGTTCGTTTATTTAACTCATTCACTCTCAAAGACGTTTTCAAACGTCTTTTCAGACTTGGGTCTAGAATTGGCTGGTACTGAATGAGTTAAATGTCTAGAATTGGATGGTACTGAATGAGTTAAATGTGTTTATTGTTTAACCCAGGGGTCCCCAACCTTTTTTGCCCCACGGACCGGTTTAAGTCAGACATTATTTTCAGGGACCGGCATTTAAGGTGTGGCGGAATTAATACAACAAAATAATATGGTATGAGCTGCATGAAAACTGTGGTGTTTTCGAAATACAATAATAAACACAAGGAGCGTCTAATCTGG